TGTACCAACCCTTATCAGCCCTCAAGTAAGCAAGTACATGCATGTAGCATTGGTCTTGTCACTTTACTTCAAATGCAAGAAAAGTTGCAAAAGGTGTTAGAGCTTGCACAGCTAGTAAGGACTGACTTTGTATCACTCCTCTACATATTTGAAATCTTTGTGCAAACCATGAGACGATTGGTTTACACTTGAAACTCTCTGAAATTCAAAAACTCCAAAAATTCTGCCAAAACACGCAGTTTCTGCAAAACCATAGCCAACTCTCATTTGGCTCGTGCGTTTTGTGTTTAAACACTTCAAGCATCTCATACACATCATACCAAAGCAATCCAAGCCATCACCCTGGTTCTGTAACCCTTGTTTCAGCATCCACCATTTTCACTTTGGAAGCTTGCAGCTTGACTTGTCTAGAGAGTTCCAGCCATCCTCAGAACAAGCTAAGCATTGGAATAGGTTCAGGGAAGTTCAAGGAAGCTTAAACAATCACCAGGCCTCCATTAAAGTCCCTACATTGTCCTACACAAATCCAGCTGAAGAAGGTAATTTCTTAAACTCTATCTCTCTGAATAGGCAACTTCAAGCCACGATTTGTGAAGAAAAAATGTAGTCCATATCATAACGAAGTTGTACATATCTTTACTTTTCATTTATATTAACTGTATTGAGAGAATTTGAAGTTTGAAAATTCTGAAAAAGCTAGGTCATGAATTAGGGATTCAAAAATTCTCCTTGATCTTTAAGAGTTAGGTCACATAATTTATATGGCTGGAATCGTGAGCTCAAATGCCACATTTTTCATGTTATGAGTTTTTTTATGCAAGCATGTGAGAGTTACAGATTGAACTAGAAAACGCGCGCAGAAGGATGACCAAGGACATGGATGAAGCGCTGTTGGGCTTTTTGTGCTTTGGGCCTTTTTGTTTTTGCCATTTGCACCCCCTGACTTGTTATTTGCACCCCCCTGGCTAACTTTTTATATTTTTCATTTTTCTTCATATTTTTATATTTAATACTTTCATTTATTTTTCTTAATGATAAAAAATACCAAAAATAATTTATTTATTTTCACACTTTTATTTTATTTTTTTTATTTTTTTCTTCACATGAAAAATAGTTTATTTTGATAAATAGATTTTATTTTCTTAAATAACTTGTAAATATAATAAAAAATACTTAATATTTTTATTATACTATTTATACTCATAAATACTTATTTTTATACATATTTAATTTTTAATATTTACATATAATATTATTTATTATTTTCTTATACAAAAAATGTACAAAATAATAATATGAAACATTATTTTCTTTGAATAAAATATTAGAGTTTCACCCTTCCAAAAATAAATAATTTTTTCTCCCTTTTTTAGGGTTTGAATTAAATCATTTTCTCATACAAAAAACCAAACACAAAAACATTTTTTACATGAACATATTGCATTGCATTTTAAATATTTGTCTTATATTTATTTAATTCGCGCAATATTCGATTTGGTTGTAATAATATATTTAGGTTTATATTTGTGTAAAATCCCCATTCAAAACTTGTATCCCCCCTCCCATAATAATTGTTGTAATAGCTTAGTTTATTTTACGCAATTTATCGCGTTATATACTATGCTTAGTAATTAGGGTTTACATGACAAGAACAAAAAAACAAAACAAATAAAAAGAACATAAATGCAAGACAAAAGCATGAAAATGACACACTTTGCACACAAGCACCCTTAGGGTTTCTCCCACTTGGTTGCCCAAAATAAAATGGCCATGTTATGCATGCGAAGTATCTTGGCAAAACAAAACAAGTATAAGATTATAGTCCCTCGATGACGCTATTCAAAGGTTGCCTAAACAAAATGATCTTGGTCCCTAAAAAATTCTAAGATACTTGGCAACATTGCTATCATGGTCATACGATGACCCACGCCTGTCCCGTTTACATCCAAAGATATGGTTGCTTACCAAATCAATGGCAAGTCAACAATGTCAAAGGAATAAAAACGTACAAGAAAGACATTTGAGTAGGTAGATAGCTTCTAAGTTACTTGCTCCTTTTCAAACAATCCTTGCTATTTTCAAAAACAAACACACACACATTTCAAGACATCTTACAAAACATTGAAAATATTTTCAAAAGACAAACATCTTTGTATAGATTCTTACGAACGAGAATCATTACAAAGATTGCCTAAACAATGGTCTCTTTTACAAAATACTTTCAAAACCACACCAAACACCATTTCAAACAAAGCAAAGCAAGTGATCTAAGAAAATAACTAAGAGCCCATGGAAAACCATGGATGAAAAGGGTGCTAGCAGCTTCCCTTTTTAAAATCTACCCCCCGAACTCAAGAAAATATCTCAAAGGTCTTTCCTGTGCTTTTTTACCTTTCCTTTTGGATAAAAGAAAAGTCGGTAGCGACTCTTGCTAACCGCGACATTTGCGACGAAACACAAAACCTCAAGTCAATTCTCCCACTGTATCACAGATGGCTATACATCTATTTACTTATATGAAATGATAAATACAACATATAATGCTTCTAAGGCTTGTACTTCGTCTTCAACCTTCAGCCAGCCAGAGTACCTGTAACTTCTTCATCTCTCAACAAAAATGGAAAGTACAAACATGAAGGTTGTGGCATTTCTTCCCACGAATCCAACCATATAAATAACTAAAGCTATAAATCCAAGATGAGTGAGAATTTTTCAGGCCCTAATTTAAAACCTAAAAATTTGAGAAACTTCAACTCCAAAATTCTCTAAGCTCAGGCCATATAAATGCAAATTATGGATATGTACAGCTTCGTGGCAATGGTATCTATATTTTATCTTTGAAAATGGAAGCCTAACAATGCCTATATGAATAGTTCAAAAGTCAGAAAACGCACCTTGCAAGAGGGTATATGTTTTGAGTTTGAGCAGCTTTCAATGAGTTCTAGTGATTGGTTTAGCTTCCTCAAGTTCCCAGGAAGCTAATGTGATGCTTGGCTTGAGCTGAAAGTGGCTAAGGAGTTCTGGAGAAGTTCACTTGCAGTGCTCTATTTTTTAGTTTGGACAATGGTGGAAATGGAGTTACAGAACTGTAACAGGTATTGTTATGAGTTGTGGATGATGTTTAGGAACTTTTGGAATGGTTTGGAGAGGAGACGCACGAGTAATTTGAGAGATGGGAGTGTAAGGTCAGTTTCTGCACAAAATGGATTTTGTGTGCAATCTGAGTTTTTGAGGGTTTGAGTGAGTTTAAGGGCTTGTACATGCATGGGTTAGCTTGAAAATAGTATATTCATTTATAGGCAAGAGCTTTTGTGTTCTACAACAAGTCAAAATTTGAATTTTCATGTTGTAAAACCTTTACTTGTTTTTGAAGCAAACATGACAAACATCTTCCCAAAGCTTGTACCATGCTATTGTAGAGTGGTTGAAATTTAAACAAGCTTATTTATGACTTGTAGATGTTGTGTGTTCAGAAAGATCCATTGAGAGGTTCAAGAAGGGTTGACATTTACAAAAGCATGCTTTTCCAAAATGGAAGTCTTGCCTTTCTTCCAAAATGGCAAGTTAACTTAGACAAAGCTTGGATTTAATGGATAATAGCCATAAAGTTTGTGTAATATTCTGATTAAGGATAGATACACAAGTTATAGGGCCTTAAAAATGGGATTATGCAGCATGGCTATGGATTTGGTTCATGTTCATCATAAAATTCTGCCTTGTAAAACAACTTGAAACCCTAACTTCTGGCCTTTGATTATCCTTGCCCAAAAATGATCTCAAGGATTTCTTGGACATTTTAGAAAGCTTGTAATGTGTTATACAATCCTTCTTTGAATCACTTTTTCAAAATCCAATTGGAACTATATGAAACTTGGCCCATAAGTTAGGTCAAAATCCTGACCAAAAGTGCTCAAAATTTCACTGTTTTTTTAGTTTTATGAACATGATTTCATGGATTAATAACTTGAAATACAAGCAATTCTAGGAGGAGTTGTGTAAAGAAATGTTTTAGATCTCATTTAGATCTATAACTTTCATGTTTAAAGTTTCCTTTGAATCATCTTGCACCATGGTGAAAAATTGGCTCAAAGTTGTAAAAAAAATATGAACAAGTTTGGAAACTTTGACTTTTCAAAATGAAATCTTGAATTTTTGATTTCTTGATGAACAAGTTTCATATTTTAACATGTTTTGATGAATTGTGATCTGTGACACCTGATTTTGACCAAAAAGTCAAAATTTGACTTTTCAGTGTACAGTTGACTTTTGATCAGTTGACTGAAAATCAACTATCAATCAATTGATCTTGAGGGAAGTTTTGAGTCATACCATTAAGTCAAAATGATTCATTTTAAACCTTGAGGTCATGTATCAAACCAATTAACCATTTGCTAGGTCAAAAATCAGAAATTGCCCTTTCTCAATCAAAACCCTAATTTTGACCATTTTGTCCTTTTGATGATCTGATCAAATTTCTTGAGGAATTATGGTCCAAACTTGATCAAATTACATATATGAGTTCATAATGTTGATATGGATCAAAAATTATGAATTTTGACTGTAAATTGGCCACAATTGACTTTTTTCCAATATAGTTGATTTTTAGGTCAACTGATCAATTGACTGAGCAAAAATGTGATCCAAGACTTGAAACTTGACATGAGCAATCTGGAGGGTCCAAAATGATCCATGAAAGTCATATGGAGCATTAAAAGTCCAATTATCCTTGTGCAATCTCAACCCTAATTTCAGTCATCAGTGTTTGAGGAGGTGTCTTGAGCTGATCAACCCTTGTGCAGTCTTGAACCAAAGGAGATCTTGTGAGAAATTACTTGATAAATGAGAGGGAAAATTTTGGGGTACAACACACTCTTGTTAAATAATTGTCTGGCACACTTATGTTTATGACACAAATTCTTAATATTGAATGTTGTGCTCCTTAGAACCCTGTTGCACAAAACAGTGTAGTTACAAAGCTTCTTATGCTTATATACAACCATTCACATCGAGGCATCACTTTTGGAAAATATCACCTCCCTACCATTAAAAACCTTGTACTCTAATATATCTTTCTTGAATTTCTTCAGAGAGGAAAACTTCATACCAACCTTGAATGTGAATTCCTTTGTCATTGGTTCTTCTTCATTAAACCTAATCAATACAAGCGTGTCATCACAATTATCTTCATCTGCTCCACTATCAAGTTCACCAGTCATGTAGTTTTCTTCTATGACATACTCCTTTTCCATTTCTGGTGTTAAAAAACTAATGAAGGTTTGTTGTATGTGTGCAGCACCATCAACATCATCCCTTCCATTATCGACTTCATCCATCCCTTCATCAACTCCTTCACCAAAGTCTTCATCAAAATCATGCATTCTCTCTTCTTCATTATCTTCAAACTATATGCCATTAATAGTTTCATCACTTGATTCACTACACTAACCATCATTCTCATCATCCTCAAGACTTTGCTTCCCCTTGTTTTTCTATCTTAACCTTTCCATATATGTCAAGTCACCAGTAGATGGTTTGACCTTAATATATATTTCAACTTCATACTCATTCTTCTCGGCAAACAAAGATAGCATTGACGCATCCTCGTCATTTCTAAATGGTTTTAGATATTTCTCCATACTACCACCTTCTTGTTTCCACCACATTTTCACACCATCAACACTAAACTCTGAATCCATACCCTTAATTAGATCACGTGCTTCAAAGAATGACCACTAATCACTGTCTTGTCCAACAAAAGTATAAGTATTATCATCTTCATATCATACGTTTGGGTCTTTTGTAAGGGCATCCTTAGTGAAAAAATGACCTTAAACATGCACATCTCCTATAAATTACACATATGATAAATATTAACTTCATAAACATTTCACATAACTACAATTATTAAGTCAATACAATAGCAACTGAGTATTAAATATTCATTCAATGTGTAACCCTACAAATGACAGACAAAGTCACATTATTATATTGCCTTTTAGATACTGATGAACATTGTGGGACATATCAAAAGGACACAACTCTAAAAAAAGAAAAAGAGAAAGACATGTGGGACAAACCTGTCTAAAAAATGAAACACTAAGGACCACAACAATTTTGAGAGATATGTTACATTTTCACTTATTTACTTTTTCATGCTTATTTATTTTAGTTTACTTTATTACTAGTAAGAAACTTGTGTTATTGCACGGGTCCCGTCTGGATTCACATTTTACATCTACTAAACCATCATTTGTAAAGTTTGAATTCATTCTTCTATTGGTTAACATTCACATAGTTATAAATATAAGCTAATAATATGCATCAACTCTTAAGCATTAATCCGTGCGTATAATAAACCGCACATACAACTCTCTAACTTCAATTGTATAAAACAACAGCAAAAAAAAGATTGAAAAGATGGACCGTAAAATTAACAGTCTACGTGAATTTATGCCTGCAAGGACCTTCATTACGATGAACAATCTACCGCTATTAAATTGAGAAATAAAAAGAACTATTAGATTAATATACTTGACCACGAGATATTAAGTCTTTAATGTTAATCAAATTTTATCAAAAAGATTCTATAATTTAGTCAAAAATGAATTATGTAATGAATTAATATAAAACATCAGCAAAAGAAATATTTAAAAGATGGACACTAAAATGAACAGTCTACAACTTGTATCTCATATATAGATTCACATCTACCTATGGATCTATGCCCGCAAGGACCTTGATTACGATGAACAATCTACTATTAAATCGAGAAATAAAAAGAATTTTTGGATTAATATACTTGCCCAAGAGGGTATTAATTCTGTAATGTTAATCGAATTTTGTTAAAATGATTCTAAAATTTAGTCAAAAATAAATTATGTGGTGAATTAAGATAAAATAGTAGCAAAAGAAAGATTTAAAAGATGGAGAATAAAATGAACAATCTATAACTGGTATCTCATAGATACGTTTACATCTACCTGTGGATCTATGCCTGCAAGGACCTTCATTGTTGTTGTACCCCAAAATTTGCCCTCCTCTTTTCCACAAGAAATCGCAGCTTCGGGCTTTTCCTGATTTTTCAGATTGGCTTAAGAATCAGTCAAACAGACTTTTCTCGTCAGTCAGACAAAATTAGGGTTTCCATTGATTTAGAATCAGTTCAAGCAGATTGTTAGGGTTTGGTTGAGTTTGGCTCAGGGTTTGATCAGGAAGACGTTTCTTTGACAATAAATCAAGAATTAGGGTTTGCACGCGCATTTTCAGAAGAATTTGAATCCACAGTGTTTTAATTGGTTGTTACACTGCTTTGACGTTTGCTCAAGATTTCTGTTTGTTTCTCAAGGTCTAAACATCTGGGATATGAGCTGAGGCTTCTGATTAAGAGTTTGAAGTGTTTGGTCTAATCAGTGAAATAAAGGACATATGGACGTTGCTTGTTTAACTGTGCGATGTTTTTTGGTTATTCGGAACGCCGAACGTTTATTGATTATTTATAATTTCTAAGTTAAAATTATTGGATAATTTCCAATTATTATAATTCAAGAAATTAAAGTAATTAAATAAATAAATGCAGAAGAATTAAAAGAGAATTAACTGACAAAGGATTATTTGTATTCATTTTTAATTGTTTGTTACAATTATTATTTGAACACTGTAAATTTATTTACATTTGTTTATGTGATCGGTGGAAATAGAACTGACTGTTTTGAAATGCTGGTTCGCGAAATGTCGCGGTAAGCAAGAGTCGCCACCGTCTTTTATGTTCTCCAACAAGGAAAGGACAAAAGCACAGCAAAATTCTTTTTCGAGATGTTTCTCAGTTCGGGAGGTAGATTATAGAAAGGGAAGGTGTTAGCACCCTTTCTATCAGTGGTTATCCACGGGCTCTTAGGTACTTGCTCACTATGTTTTCAAAAATGTTTGATTTTCTTGTGTTTGTGGGTTTTGAAAAAGTTTGTTTGAAAACTTCTAGGTAACTCTTGTATCAGTCCTCAAGAGTGTATGAAGTGTTTGCTTGAAAACGTTTTGAAAATGTAGGTGCGAAAAGTTGTTTTTTTGTTTTGAAAGAGCAAGTACCCAGGAGAAATCTACCTACTCTAAGGAATTAAGCTGTGTAAATGTCCTTTAGACAGTACTATCCCACTATTGAGGAGTAGGTAGCACCGTCGTTGGAGTTATTCGGGTCAATTCGATTATAGGGACATGTGTTCACCAAAGCAATAGTAGGACGCCTTAGCGGTAACCCTAATGTCCTAGATCCTTTTTTATCCGAGGCAACCGTTTCGAGGCAACTGGATCTTTAGACAGGAGGGCGACCTCTAAAACACCTTATACTCAATGACCACGTCGAGGCAACCAAGTGAGGCGTACCCTAGGAGTGGCATGTGCGAGTGTGTCAGGATTCAATTCATATTATCTTTGCACATGTATTATAGTGAGCTACGAGTTGATTTTAATTTCAGGCAAGTCTTGTCATGCATAGCAGTTAATAGTTGTGCGAAAAGTAAATTGCGGAAAGTAAATCTACGCTATTACAAGGCGTCGGGTATTTACATCGCCAAAAACAAACCCTTGGAAAAAGTAAATGCGAGAAAATAAAGAAAGCGATAAAAAGGCCCTAATTACACTATTACATCCTCGGAGCAATTACATAAATATGATCAAAAATTAATATACGCGAATAAGAATTGAATCGGGAAAGTCCTTAGGGTTTTGACCCTTTTTGAGAAAGAATGAAATCTTGGTCCTTTTTGTGATTAATTAATATTAAACCTAATTTACTAATTAATTAATTAATTAAAAGAAAAGAAAGTATTTTTTTTATGTTTTTTATGTTTTAAGGAAAATAAAAATAAAAGAAATTAAAAGTTGTCAAAACCCTAATTCTATGTTAATTTTATTTATTGTGAAAAAAGTCAAAGTTAACCTAATTAAACTAAATTAGTTATATTAGTATTTGTTTACAAAATAATAAACTAGTAGTGAAATTAATAAATAATAATAATAATAAAAATATTAGTTTTCAGAATTTATTATGAAAAATTAATTTGTGAGTTATAATAATAATAATAATTATAGTTAATAAAAGAGAATAAAAAGAAAGAAAATAAGAAAATAATAAACCAGGGGTGTGCTGGCCCATTAGGAGGTTAGTAAGCAATTTCTGGCCCATTTGTTTCAAGCCTGCTTTGACTTTCTGAGATCATCCACGCATGCTTTGACTAGGGAATACCATGGTCTTCCAATCATGGCCATTGGATTGATGCTTAAGGCCACTTGGCGCTTGGATATCTGGAGATACATGGTGGAACGCTTTTGAAAATCTGCATGCAATTATGTTAGAAAAAATAATATAAGCGTTTTGGGTGGACCTGGGATTCGAACCCAGGTCCCAATGATCACCAGCCAGCGCACCATCCACTAGGCCATTTGCTTGCTTTGATAATATAATAAGAAATGAATATAATATATAAAACGTAACAATTATGCTGGAAACAACAAATAAACGCGCGCCCTTTTTGAATGCTCCAATGGAATATTACCACGTACTCATCTTCTTCGTTTTCCTGTAAAAAACACAGTTAGATAGCGGGGGTTTTTAACCCCCACAACCTGCAACCACGAAAAATAGCGAATAGGCGTATGATTAATAGAAATATTTCGCGAGGGTGGCTTTGTGTTCGTCTTGTTCTGACAATTTCAACCATATGCTTTAGGGGTTCTAATTTTTCCTGGATAATAAAGCCCCAATTTGGAAGCTCAAGAACCCTAGATTTTGTCAATGGCAACTTACGATTTTGCACACTATAATCCAATTAATTAATACCATTAGTCTTATATGAACTCAAGCAATACAAAACAATGAATAAAGCATGTTAATTATGCATGAAATAGCCAATACGATTATGGACATGAGAAGCAAACTGTGGGTCTGTTCTTGAGTATTTCTTGAGCTTTAGCGTATGGTTTTGATTGCAATACGTCTCTGGGGACTCCTGCAACGTGTTAGAATTAATAAAAAGCTTTGAATTATGCTAGAATATGGAAATCAGTTTTGACTTTTCTATGAATTTTCTTGAATGTGGTTATGGCTTTTCTGCAGTGCTTTTTTTCGTGTGCATGGGTAGGATTAGTTTGTGTATATGTAGTAGAATGAAACTAGGTCAAATCTTTGCCAAGAAATCCATGGAATTGATGATTGTATATTTGATTGAAAATCAAATCTTTTTGAATCTTTTTTATTGAAGAAAGTTGCTAAATTGGGAGATTTTGATATCCTTGATTGATACACGAATTTGCCAACTTTTTAAGGTCATTCTTGCTTCACAAAAAGATTGGAAAACCATATCTTTATATTTTCCTACAATTAAATGAATTAAATGGATTAATATTGATTAAAAATCCAATTAATTAATAAAAAATAAGAAAATAATTCAATTTAAGCTTAATGGGTCGTACATAGGTCATGGATAAAGTTTCAAGAAGAAATTTGAGGCCCATTAGCAAAAACAAAGTGTTTTGAGCAAAGTTGACTTTTGCAAATTCACAAAAATTTCCCAACTTCTCCAATGCATATCTTGCTCAATTTTGATCATATGAACATGTTCTTGGACATTATGGAAAGGTCTTGAAGTCCTCTAACCAATGCCTTTGGTCCCATGTCATTTGGATTTACCAATCTCAAGTTATGGTT